AAATGTATTTTTGCACCAAAGAGTTACTGATTATCAATGTTTGTACTATGTATTTCTCCAAATATTTGAGATGATGTTGTTTCTGCTTAATGATAACCCTGGAATTAAAATATCATCAAAATTGTGTAAGCCATCTGACTACTCTTAGTATTGTAAAAATGTCTACAAACATTTAATATTTTGGTTAATTATAGTTAAGAGGGGTTTTTGCACCATTGGAATCGTTCCCTCCTTAATAGTTGTTATACGACTGCGGCTGTGAAACGGATACTTTTTTCACTAAGACAGGATCTCTCCTTCTTCACACATTCTATGTACTCCATTGTCTTAGTCTGCTTCTCCAGGTCAATTGCCTAAGAAAGGAGAGGGTAGGAAAATAACCCCATGGCTCTGAAAAGCTTTTCAAGAGTTCTGAAAGCTATCTTAGATAACAGAGTGATTTATAAGCTTGATGTAGAATCTTGGGTCCTACCCCATTTTGATTAATACCATAGATATAATAGAGCTAGATAGCCTGCTCTATTGTTTCAGTCGGAGAATGGCAGTCCTCCTTAGTCTTTACTCCCTTCATGTAGCCATCAACCTCTGCCTGTGACTTCCTACCCTGTGAGAAAATGTTGCATGTTGAGTTTTTGTTTGGACTTTTTTTCAAAATTTTTGTTATGGGGGAAAATTCCCACCCCCCTCTCACTTTTCAACCTCTGCTGGAGCCCATGGTTTAAATAAATGTTAGCTCCAAGTAGGTCACACAGATTTTTATATTCTTTCAAGAATTTCAACCTCTTAGGGTCTATTAGCATGGCCTACTCCTGGAGAAATTGCTTGCCCAAATTGATGAATAAATTATGATTATTTTTGAAATTTGATTTATAAGCTTTTCTACACTAGATGTAAACTGTTCAAGTTTGTGATGTTAAAGTTTCTACACACGTTTCAATTATTTAGGAGTGTATATACAATACATGAACCAGTTAAATTTCAGATTTGAAAAATCTGTTGCTATTTGTGCCAAAACTAAAAATATGATGCTATAATCTGAGCAATTTTTAATAAAATTGTATTATATTTGTAATTTCTTGGCATAGCTCTCACCTGATTGACAAAATCTTGTCATGTGTTTTCAACCTCCTTTGGCAGAAAATATTGAGTGAATAAATACTTTTAAGAAAAATGGTTATATTACCTGATACTCTAAGCTGGTGTTTGAGACATTGGAGTGTGTCTTGTGTGGAAAAAAAACACTTAGGAAAAAAAGGAATGCTTTGTCTGGATAATTTCTTAGCAACAGAACAACTAAAAAACAACTTTATTGCAGGGGCAGTTGTGATGGTAACTGTTTGTGCAATTACTGGACAAGAAGAATTGTCTCAGGGCACTTACTTCAGCAGAGCTTTATCTTAATGCTACCTACTATGCATCCTATCCCCTTTTTTGTATCTCTGCTAGCGACAGACAAGACCCCTGGTCTTATTGGCAGGTTTTTCCAATTGTCACATTCTTTTGAAATGAGTGATCTGGCAACATCGAATCACTTTGAGCATGGGCAATCTGCAAAAGTTGAAGCACTTAAAAATTGTCAGGTTAAGAGATGGAGCCCTTTTATATGCTTATTAGCTTTAGCTAGTGTCATCAGGATACCAATACACACATTGTATCCTCAAACTTGTGGCATGATATCTGGAAAATGTGCAGCCAACTTGTTTAATGCAATTTTTTATCCACGTTAAAGGCTTGATGGTAGCAATTCCCATATCCACTTGTTATGGTGTTTGAGGATTTTGAAAGACACATCAATCCAAATTTTAAACCCAATCATTTTGTGCCAGTTTTTGTTGGTGACAACTTTTCTCTGAATTCCAGTAATGCCACATCTAGACCTTCTCAAACTCTTGATGTTGCAGCTTCAGGAGTGAAAGATGGCAAATCCAAATCTTCTGTCACTGCCTCTTTGTCTTCATCGAAACAAAACAAGATCTGTTCTATTCATCAACTGAATCATCTGATAAAATTATTTTGCCTGAAGAAACTAGCTCTTCTCCTGTTTCTGTATTTAAAACAGACAGTGCATTGGAAACTGCGGTTACAAATTCCTATGATATTGGTTCTTTTTTTGGTCAATCTTTAACAGCAGCTAAGAAGTATGGCCTTTGTAAAAATGTATGGGGACCAGATGCAAATTTTGTTTTTCCTTCCCATTCTATATATGTAAGTAAGTGGAACTTTTCTTTTTCTTGGCTTACTCTTGATGATGCACTTTGCCTTCCTTGTGTCATTTTTGGACGGAGGATTGGTGTAAATTCATCAAAAGTAGACAAACTGGTGAAAAGTCCTTTCACAAATTTGTCCTGTGCAGTTTCTAGATTTAAATCAAATAGCAAATCTGATATCCACCTAACATCTTTATTAACAATGCAGACCTTTCTAAATGTAAAGCAATATAGAATCAAGTCCATTGACCAAATCAGCAATCAAGCTGTAGATGCTCTTGTCACAAAGAATAGTTTAAAGCTTGAACCAATTGTAAAGATGCAAGACGAAACTTTCTACTGCGAGGACACAGGGATGACTCAAGCTATTACAACAAGGAAGATACAGGGAATTTTCAAGCACTTCTTGATTTGAGAGTTGACAGCGATGATCTGGTTCTTAAAGAACATTTTGATACTGGTCCTAAAAACGCCGCATAAAGATCTAAAACTATTCAAAATGATATAATTTATTGTTCTGCAACCATCCTCAACAGTAAAATAATATCTGAAGTAAGGCATTCGAAATATTTGAGCATCTTAGCTTATGAAGTTTCTGTCTGTTCTATTAAGGAACAGATGCCTCTTGTGATCAGGTATGTAGACAGGAAGAACAACATCCAAGAAAGGTTTCTTAAATTTATACATTGTGACCAAGGTGTTACTGGAAAAGCTCTTACAGACAGGATACTTCATTGTTTGGTCAACGAATTTAATCTGGAAATTCAAAACTGCCAGGATCATTTTAGCATCTTAGCTGATGAAGTTTCTGACTGTTCTAATAAGGAACAAATGCCTCTTGTGATCAGGTATGTAGACAGGGAGAACAACATCCAAGAAAGGTATTTTAAATTTATACATTGTGACCAAGGTGTTACTGGGCAACCTCTTACAGACAGGATACTTGATTCTTTGGTCAACGAATTTAATCTGGATATTCAAAACTGTGGTGGTCATTTTAGCATCTTAGCTTATGAAGTT